AATAATTATGCTCATTATGAAAAGGTAGGAAAATACCAAGTTCTTGAAGGGGATGTATGATTATTGGCCGACCCTCTTTGCTGGAGTATACCATGGAATATTAAGGAGCAGCCCTAAAGGGAATATTCTGAACAGCAGTATAGCAAGAAAGCTTTCGAGAAATATCGGGTAGTTTGCAAATTTTAGTCTTGTTATACGATTTAGAAACAAAAGTATAAATGTACAGTTGAAAATTATAATATGTTTCTTGTATTTTATATTTATCTACCAGCAGTAGTGTGCAATTCTAAGTATATTTATGGAATGATGGAATTATCTTTTTTTCATTTATTCTTTCATCAAAAGTAACTCGAAGCAAACTTTTCGCATCGATTGCCCCTCAAGAGATTTAAATTCTCCTTTAACATTGGAGCAATTTCTTTTCACGGCAATCGCAAGCGTTTAATTGGTCCAACGGAGAGGCAGGTAGCTACATTAATTGCACCAGCAGCGCAACGGGCTGGTCAGGATGTCTAATCATGGGGGTTGTGCGGCGATAGGTCGGTCCGACGCGGCAGAAAAGGCGTCTCGCATTGAATGCTAAACAAAAGCTAATTTATATCCGGAGGTCGAGACTAACGCTGGAGATCGGGAGATGAATGGCTACTCTCCTTGCATACCAAGTGGCACGAATCCTTCAGGATCGCGGAGTTAAAGATCTTGGGGGAATGTTCCCCGTGGAATAGTTGCTTGTATCTTCAAATATCGCGTACGAAACGGCGAACTCTGGGTTTTAGGAGCTCGTCAAAAGGCGCTCGATCGCTGCTTGATTTCTATTCAGACGGCATGTAAATTTAAACACCGTGAATAATTTTCATCCTACAATATCTAACAATCAACCCTTTACAAACGTTCTCTTTAAAAGTAAACTCTAAAAGAGATAATTTCTAGTAAAGTTTTAAGACGCGCAGAGACTGCAAGTAATATATTTAGATAGCAATTTTAGATAGTCTGAAGAAGCAAATTTTCTTCACTATGAAAGCGTGATTTAATTATTGAACATATCTAGAGCAAAAGTTAAATTATGACAAAGAAATATAAATAATATATTTACGATTTCAACAAATACAATTAAATGTCGAAAATGTAGTCTACATCGTTATTAGTCGTAATTTTCAAGTTTTGTCATGAAAAACTGACGAGGAGCGAAGAGTGAATACTCCTCGGTTCCTATCGATTCGTGGAAGGAAAAAATTTCCGAGCACGTATTACCAGTGACGAGCAGGATTCGCATCGCGAACTTTCGAATCTAGGCGGTTTAATCTATCATTGCGACGGCGAGACGAGAAGCCGGAGTAACTAGCACGGAATAATTAATAAATGCAAGGTGCATTAGTATGCGTTGCGGAAGATGAATTCGTGCGGACCTGAAGTCGGATGAGCGCGGGCCCGGGGCTAGAGGGAGAATTATAAAATAATAAAGAGAAAATTACGTAATGTGAGGATCAGATGAGAATTAGAGGACAATGAAGACGGGGTAAACCTCCTGTCTAAAGACGGGGAGGAGGAGAAAGGGTGGAAACGCGCTTACCGGGGGTCGCCGAGAGGGAGGTGGAAAACTGGAGGTCGAAGACCAGACGTCTTAATGTCTGCATCGTCGGAAACTCGTCCCTCGCGCGCATGACTATCTCTCTGCGACCCTTACATCTTTCCGATAAGAACCTTAAGTCCCGAAGATAAATTCGACTCTTTTTGAACCTTTGATATCCCGAATTCCGACGTGCTAGTGTCTGCCACAATTCGGTATATCTAATTACTTGAGAAGGATAGGCTTCAAATTTTTATCATCCTACAAAATAGCTCGTAAGTGACGTATCTCGTATATACGATTTGTGACCCCGAGTATATCTTGTAAAAATAAACGTCTGTCGCTGGATGACAGGAAAATTTTCGCGCCGGTAGCTCAAGATATCCGATTAAAACAGCATAATTAAGTGGTCTATTTTATAAATAATAGTTAGGAATAAATAATTCTAACGTTGTATATTTAAATTAATCGTATGCGATATAATTCCTGCAATATTTCTTCCAGTTCTAAAAAATCCGCAATCTCTATTTCGCATAGAAACAACATTATGTAAAATAATGCATTTATTTAACATGTTATCGCACTCGCGATATTAAAAATGCCACTACTACCTACTTCGTAACCCTTTCATTATGGGAGCTGGTGAAATGTCGCGAGACTTATCGAAATGGAATACGATGTCGCCGCGGGTGCTAATCGGGGATTCTAATTAGTAGTCAGCCAGCGCAGGCCCGACGCGACTTTGTAAATGGTAACAATGTTATGTAATTAGGTAAAAAGTTCTGTAATCAAGAAGTAGATCTTCCGCCGAGCCATACCACTCTCGCCTCTCGCGCTCTCGTCTGATCCTCCCACCCTCATTCGTATTAAAATAGTCTCGCTAGGAAAGCGTGCGTTGTGCTCTGCATATCTTAAAACCCAGGGGCTGCTGCGGAGACGGTCTAAGAGCCACCACCCGTTCTGATTTTTGCCGCGATTCATATTACTACAGGCGTGGCTGAGATTATGAGAGAATCAACTTCGCTCTTCCGACTGAAATTTCGGCTAAATTGGAACGCTCGAAATACTCGGTCGGCGCTGTAAACTGAAAATTTCGCGAGCAAACACCTCTCGCCGATTATGCAAATTCGCGAAAGGCAAAATACTATAACGCGATATCACCAACTTATTAAGAATAAAATTTGCCGTAGTTATTCGCGATACTTTTCGCCGTCTGTCATTATATCATTATCCTTTCGCGATATCAAAGTTCGATTTTGCGAAATCGTTTTTCCGTTCTTTCAGTTCTCGCATACTCGCTCGTCAAAAAGATTACGCATTCCGGAGTCAAAAGCGGAACGATTCGTGCCTTGCAGCATTGAAAGTCGCGCGCGAGAGTTTGATTTTAAGCGGATAAGATTGGCGCGAGAGAACCGGTAGAAGTGATACATGTATCGCTACGCATTGCTTCCTGAGATGCTGACAAATGCATACGTGATTGCAACAAGCGAACGTACTGCATCGTTCGTTGTCACGTAGACATATACGTAGCGCCATGCGTAAAAGGAGCTGCGCCACGTTAGGTAAGCATATATGAGCGTATATGAACGCATGAGATCATCGGTCGCGTACGCTCGCGGAAACGCTGACGTCAGTGCTTTCGATTGCTTTTGTTACTTTTGTAAACGATCGCGCTCGATATGATGATATCAGGAAGACGAATGCCGATTGTGCACGTGCGTTTGACGATCTCTACATGTTTCATTCTTCTTACTTAAACAAAGTATGTCACTCGTTATATAAATAGCACTGGAAATCAAAGCTCATTAGAATTTTCACATATAAATATATATATATATATATATATATATGTATGTGTTTTGCATTTAGTGGATTTTATCTCGTTCGACATTTTATGCTCAAAATATTACGCATGATATCATTAGAATTCTGATTAGTTCGAAAAATCTATAGTTGAAAAGAATAAAGCGGTATAATTACAAGATATATAATTTTCCATATGCATATTCTCCAAATGCAAATTCAATGAGCCAAATCTATGCATTGATTTTTCTCGTGAAATAAATATTATAGAAATGTGTGAAATTTCATGAAATAGCAGCACGATTATGTCGATCGTATCACATATAAATTATCATTGTATGCATGAAGATGCATAGCGTGAAATCCATATCGTAAAGACTGGTAATCGGCGAACATTGAAATTGTTGCGGGTGGCAATTATGACGCGATATTATGACAATATATATATATATATATATATATATATATATATATATATATCGTCACACAGTTTGAATTCGACCAGAGATTATAGCGAGTCGTGTAACACGTGAGTCATGCACAATGATACGTAAACTTTGTACGCGCGAGAAACATTCATCACAGTCACGTATTAGTAAATAATTTGTAATAATAATCAAATTAATCAATTAATCTAATTAATAAATGAATGTAAAACTTCGCAAGACAGAAGAATATTTTTAAAAAATTATAACAATGACCAACAATTATAATATAACAATTATATAACAACTATATAGCAATTATAATAATGATAAATGATTTATAAGAAAATAAAAAAAATCCAAGAATTTGAAGTTCGCTCATTAAGATCTCCTACGGATGAGTAACGAGAATAAGAAGGGATGCGGAACTCGACACGGCGGAATTAAATAAAAATAAAAAAAACGCGAGATAATAACGTTAGCGAAGGAGCCGAGAGCCCAAGACAAATAGTCGAGGGAAAACAAAGCGTATTATAAATACCGGGTGACAGGACGAGTGGTGCGGGAGAGTGAGCGTAAGCGCAAGAGGGTAGTCGGCCACGATGGTCGAAGGGTGGAGATTTTCGTGGAGAGGGGTGACGATATAGTAGCCGACGACTCTTGGGAGAAAATGTTCGAGAAAGCAGCGACCCCGCCAGCATTTTTGCTACCTGCCGACACAATGAGCCGCCGGATTTCTTTTCTCGTTCCTACCCTTCCTTCCTCATCCCCCCGAACGACGCGAGCATTCTTACGCCGGAATTATAAATTTAACGCATCTACCCCCGCGAGAATTATAGCCAATAATCTCGAAATCGTATTACGATCGAAATGCAATCAATTGATTGAGGGAAATAAATTTAAAATTATTTCCTATGTGCGAAAAATTAAAAAAAATCCCTAAAAATTCTCTAAAAAATAAAATAAAAATTTCCTAAAAAATAAAAATTCTCTACAAATTCCTATATGTTGCGAAAAATTTCTATCTCAAAAATTCACAAATCTTTGAATAATTTCTCTACGTTTTCGAGAAAAAATAGACTTGTATTTTAAATGTGTTTCTAAATTTAAATGTCCATTTGATTTCCAATTGAAAACTATTCCCCATAATTATTTATTTCATGTAAGATTAAATATAATCTAATGAGTTAATAAAAAGTACTCACACTAGGACGACCGTGGCCGCGTGGATTCAGCTGCCAGGGAACTGTCGATGGCTGAAAATGCTCCTTTCCCCACGAACCGTTGTCGAACGGATTTTCACCAATGTGTCCCTGAAACAAAATCATTATTATAATTATTAGACATAATATAATAAAATTTATCAAAAGAGTACATAATATAAACAGAAATTCTTATACATTCAAATTTGATTTATTTGTAAAGATACAAATACATACATATTTTGTCGAGAAAGATGATTTCTTTGAAATATTAGTTTTAACAATAAATGCAAATATTAATAAATTTTTGATGATAGAGGTAAAGCCATGAAATTACTTGTATGATTGTGGATTTTTATTCTCACGTCTCGATAAACAAGAAAAGTTACGCGGCAGGCCAGGTCGAGGGGCATCGATCTTCGAGGCTCCCAAAGTTTCAAAGTTTTTTCGGCGCTTTTCTGCACGTCGCGTCTCGCCGTTTGCCGGCGAGCTTATTTTTGTAATATATTCCACAAGCCGCGGCGTCTCCTCCTCCTCCTCCTCCTCCGCCTCTTCCTCCTCCTCTCTTTCTCGACTTTGCACCCCGTAAGCCTTATTTTTCTTTTAACTTTATTTTTAACCTAGAATCTCTTCCGACGGCAAGGTGGCACGCACATAAATCACCGGGTATAATGAGAACACTTCGTCTTCGGGTGCTTCGCCCTCTCGGTCGCAGACGCATCTTTTGCGCGGAACGGCTATTATATTATTCGTTGCGGAAATCGGCCGTCTTTATATTAATATTCATTTTCCTCATGAGATGACACTGGCATTTCGCGCGAAATAAAGAGCGCTCGTCGATTTAAAAAAAGACTTCAAAGATCCATAACGAAAGAATACACGAGCAAATGTAATTTAAATATGATATTTTACTAAACGTCACACAATGGAGTATTTTATGTGCTATTGAAACTGGCGATATTTTATGTTCCGTATTTTATGATGTAAAGTTTTATTTACATTGCCGTTATTTTAAATCGCGTTTTTCGCCGTAAAAAACGAGACATCATATGTTGCTAGATTTATTAAAACATATATGAGGCACGCTTTTTGATGCAGTTGTTCTCAATTCTTTTTGCCCGATGAACAAATTTATAATATCGTCGCGATAAACTCGTAAATGTAATTACAGTTACTTGTATAAATAACTTTAGATACATTATTTATTGTAAATGTATCAATAATAAATTTTTCTTCATAGCAACGTTATCTTTTATCGATCTAATAAATGATTTGACGTAAGCGTTCACCATTTGAAGTACGAGAATCGATTATATTTAAGTCCAAAAGTTGGCCAGAATCATAATGATGCAATCACAATGACTTATAAGCATCAGTATAGAATATGACCGAGATTCTAAATTATTTTGGCACGGTATAATTAGCTAAATCTCTGTTCAAGTATATGTGTTGCGTAAATCTCAGAAATACATCTGCAAACGCTGGATGGATTGTGAAGCAAAAAAACGAATAAAAGAAAATACAGTTGTCTCTCTGTTTATGCATTTTAAAATATATTTCAATTTTTGAATAAAATTCCATACATGCAAAATTCCATATAATATCATTCTCGAATGTCAAGCTCATCGAAAAGAATCTTTAGCCGTGTTAAATAATCTGCAAAGTTACGGAGACTTTGAAATCGTAAATTTTCAAGCGAGTCGCAGGGACGCCTGATCGATTACTATGCGAAGTCGGCATCGATCCGGAGGGGGTGTAATTACAAAATGTAACTCCGTTTATTTCTACGCGTGACGCGTGTAGGGTGGCAAGGTAATGTATAACGATCGTCGCACGCGGTCGATGAAACTTGCTTGCCAGCGGCTGTCTTTCACTGCTTGTCCCTCTCTCCTTCGATTCTCCTTCCCTTTTCCCTTTCCCTTTCTTGAAAAAGAGAGCCTCGCTCGCGCATATTCTCCGTACACGAGGCACAGAAATAAACAGTCGCGGTAGAAAATACTGAACCGGATAGCATATATAAATATGTGGGGGGGCTATTGAAACACATTGTACATTTGCATGAGGCAACCGAGTTCTCGACGCGCAGCTGGACATACACGCGACAAAAGAAAACGCGCAAACAAAACACGCGATGCACACCGTCGTTTCTCCCGCTTGTCGTCGTCATCCCGCGGCATCATAGAAAATGTTGTATATTAAGTATTGTGTCACGTGGAAATAAACAAACGGATCTTTTACCGCTACGCGACAAACCGAAGATCCAACGTCCTTCTCTCTCGATATGTTCATTGTCAAATCGCGTCACGTGCGCGAACAACGACGTGCCGCAAAGCAGAAAATTGACGGCGATTTTAATTAACTTCTCTGTTACCTCCTCCGGACGAGATCAGTTGTAGTTAATGTCTTTTATATTTATATATAATTATTAATGCGTAAAATTGGATGATGTCAATACAGCGAGTATGGATTTATTTTCTTCGCGGAATAACACATGCATCGCTACAATGCATTTTTTATTAGATATATAAAAGACTAATCTGAAAATGATTGAATAATATATTTTAGAAGATTACGTCTCCAATAATGTACATATTGGGAAGAGTAAGAATTTAATGTATTCATTAAGTATGTTTTCAGATGTTTTAAAATTAATATATTTTGCGAGTCCTCGATCTCGAGCATTGCAACAGAATCGAACAAGTAATTATTCAGGTATTAGGTAACTGAATTATTTATAAGAGCAAATTATATATATATATATATATATATATATAATAAATATTTACGTTCTCTCGAGATTAGTCATCCATACATGCATATAATTCCAAAATTTATTTATACATGTCTGATAACGCGCATTATTTTTTCATGAATGCTACATTGAGTAATACCAAAAAATCATAATAATAATAATTGATAAAAAAGACATACACACATACAAAATATAATAAGGTGTAAAAATTCATCAAAAATAATATACTCAACCAAAGTTTCGAGATAACACACTGGAAGTGTACTTGGTCACGCGCCCGTTGCTAGAAGCAACACGCCGCCAAACTTGATCGTTAAAATATTAGAAAATAATTTTTACATACATTTGCATGAATGTATGTACATGTATAACTATATCAATAACGAATATCTTTATTATTATATTACTTTCTGCCTTCAATAATTTAATAAAATTTCTGATAAATAACAAGATGCTCGATTTTCATGAGAGATATTAATATAAATAATCACAGCATTCTTTTTATTATGGAAACGATTTAATCCGGAATATTTTCACGCCACGAGCTAATAACACTTGGAATATAAATCACGTGGTTACGATCGCAGCCGCGTGTCTCCGTAGCTCAGTATTAAGCGTAGCTCTAACCGCGACCTAATTCGAAGATAAGATAAGTCGTTAAGTGCATGGCGCGGCAGCCCTTCGCGATACTACCCGGTGTTTTATTGCCGCGGCGACCCACCCCCTCGGTCCTCTCCTTCGAGGCACGGTGAGATTTATTGTAAAATTCGATAGATATTGCCAATTACAACCCCCGCGGCGCCTACCATCGACGTGAGGCGGCCCGCGCTATCGACAGAGACGGGAACAGGGCACCTCTCGGTTGCGCCTCGAGAATTTTAAATGCGTTTTATGTACAGAGACGACGCAGTACGTTGCATAAATCCGTTCCCCTGAAAATATGATTACGATCAATTCTCTCTTCTCCCTCCGCCCTTGCCTGTACCGCGCGAGAACGAGAGAAGGACCGCGAGGATGAGTGGGAGGAATGACCTGTCGGTTCCCGTGAACACCCTCAGACACGGCACGACGATAAAACATTTCATTTCGTTCCAAGTGTCTCACGAGGAGGCCGAATAATCTCGTCAATTATTATTTTTACTACTGCCTTCTACATGCTAATTTTTCGCGCGTTTTTAACGCGTCTCCAGGATCATTGGCCGGACGACGAAATGTCTCGTCTGAAACGGCACTCTCGAATGATGAATATGCAATCTATTCGGTCATCTCTCCGGACACGGTATCGGTAATTGTGAAATTCGAATTTACGATTCGATTATTTACGAAATTATCGAATGGCTGTAAATATAAATGAATTTTTCGCGAAATGATGCGGATGTGGTGCGCAGATTCATGCTAAACTGGCATAAATGATGAAATCATGGAGACATTTCAGCTATAATTTAATAATTAATATACAATAACGAAGTCAATATCAGTAAATTTATGCCAAATCCAGGTAATAGGACTAATTTATCACTTTAATCAATGTGCCATTAATGGAAACCATTTGTCACATCGTCTGAATGTTTAAACCAGCATTCGTCAATATGTATATTATTTTATCATTAAATTCAACTTTTAATTTGACTTTTTTAACCGCAAACCTCTCTCTCGCTAATTTTATCCTAATGACTTTAATTTGACAGCAGCACTTTTTATTATAACAATATCCATTATTGTTTACATAATTTTACATAATTATTGTTTACATAATTTTATTTAGCTTTCTATTGTAAATATTATCACAAGAGGAAGAAGTAGAAAAAAGCAAGTATCCTTTGATATATTTTACTTTCAATTTTAAGACAAAAATATTCTTGCATAAAAGAGCCATTTAAATAATAAGCGTAAAATAATCATAAAATATCAGATCATGAATTTTTTTATTCGTTAGATAAAAAAACTCTTGATAATATGATAATCGCGCCTACATAAGATCTCGCGCACTTTTTTTAATGAGAAAAAAACTAGCATAGATAACGAAGCGCTTATGTCACCGACATTTTCATCCAGTCGTCCAATCGTTAGCTCATGTAACGCCCAACAAATAGTAACGCGCTTTCGGATGCGATCGTCCGAACGAACGAGTTACGATCACGAGGGCTTCTAAAAATAAATATGTTGTTTATTCACAAGTAAACCGGATGCCGTTGTTTGCTTTGGAGCAAATTGTTTTGTTAAGTTTTGCCGAGCGAGAACGAGCCACGGATGCTCGCCTCCACGTGTACGCGCGAAAGACAGAAACGTGTGCGATATTATGAAGACAGGAGGGACAACGAGAAGAGCACGACCGTCCTGTTCTCTCTGTTCTCGCTTT